ATTGCGGGTGTTTACTGAAATCACGTGCAAACCCTTCGTGAATTTTCCTTGAAAAAAGTTTTTAGCCAAGAAAAGGAAGAAACAGAATAAGACAAACCTTGACAGGCAAACTGTAAGAAACAGGAAGTTAGTGCTCTGCTAACCGTCAAAGCATGTTTGTCTAATTCAAATGAGAGACACATAATGTCAAGGATAGACCGGCAAATGCATCTTAAACATCCTGCACATACTGTGTAGAGTGTCGAGCAGTCAACAGCGCAGGTAAAGCATTCTAAACATAACGCACTCTCACTGACAGCCGCACTTAACGGCTTTAGTGCAGAAGCTTGAGACGCAGCTAATGATGGCCCCGGCCCTATTAACTTCACCCACGCTGAAAGACACATAGATTATTTATGCACAGAAAGATGTGCTGTGCTGACACTGATGCAGAAAAATATATGACAGCCAAAGAGTCGCGCACATGCTACACACACTAGCACAATGGGTTGAATAATGGCAGGATGACAGGCAGAAGAGAAAGGTGTGATTTAATGCAATTCAGTGTTTTATATTGCATTAATGTAGTCTGCGCTTTTAAACAACCATTGAATTGCATTAAATCACACCTTTCTCTTCCACCTGTCATCCTGCCATTATTCAACCCATTGTGCTAGTGTGTGTAGCATGTGCGCGACTCTTTGGCTGTCATATATTTTTCTGCATCAGTGTCAGCACAGCACATCTTTCTGTGCATAAATAATCTATGTGTCTTTCAGCATGGGTGAAGTTAATAGGGCTGGGGCCATCATTAGCTGCGTCTAAAGCTTCTGCACTAAAGCCGTTAAGTGCGGCTGTCAGTGAGAGTGCGTTATGTTTAGAATGCTTTACCTGCGCTGTTGACTGCTCGACACTCTACACAGTATGTGCAGGATGTTTAAGATGCATTTGCCGGTCTATCCTTGACATTATGTGTCTCTCATTTGAATTAGACAAACATGCTTTGACGGTTAGCAGAGCACTAACTTCCTGTTTCTTACAGTTTGCCTGTCAAGGTTTGTCTTATTCTGTTTCTTCCTTTTCTTGGCTAAAAACTTTTTTCAAGGAAAATTCACGAAGGGTTTGCACGTGATTTCAGTAAACACCCGCAATTTAGCCAGGTGCATTTAGCGAAATGCTAATTGATGTAACCATTTTATGTAAATTAAGTCATTATGACATTCTTTTAGCACAAACACGCCTCCTTTCTATGTAAATTAATCTTATTATAGATTAGAAAACCAAGAATTCCAGTGCTCAGATTTGAATGTAAAAAATATATATATATATATATCGCATACTCTCTGAACCGGTACTTCTTTTAAATTTTATACTTTTTTGTGACCATTAAAAACGTATGTTACTCATATGAACACAGGAAACCATGGCTGTGTATGAACATTCAAGTTTGGTGAAGTATGACAAATTTCCATAATTAGAAGACATAAACAATAGACAATTGAAAGGTCACAGATTGACCTCCTGGCTCAATACAAAAAACACAAACTTCAGAGGTTCTGCACTGTTGTGGGAAACTGGGGAAGATTATGTATTTTTACATTTTGAATTTTGTATTATTTATTATATTTTGTATTATTAAAAATAGAAGCATGACATCATATTCTGGTCACTGGATGTCAGAAGAAATTTTGATGCACAATGAAACTGAAGTATCGACAGTATTCTTCCTTTTTGTGACGTACATCCATGTTTAACAGATTATCAAAAAAGAAAAAAAATTAAGGCAGGGACTTGATTATATCTATTGGTTGTTGATTGGATTTTGAGATGTGGTTATTGCACTCGAAACGGTGGGAGAGTGCATTGTAAGATCACATTATGATATTTTGAATAAAAATTACGAG